TAAAAATGAAAAGATTCAAAGATTGCGATTGGAAATTTCTTGTTTTAAATACATTATTTACCGATCTGTAAAAGGTAATTTCATGACAGATATATTTACAAGGGTATGTGCTCACGTGATACCAGAGGCAAGTCTAAGTAAGCTATACCAACTTCACCAATCCCTATGCCATCCTGGAATAGCACTAATGACTCACTGTATTCATTCTTAAAATCTTACATGTAATTTTGGAAGAAGTAAAGAAAATATAATCTTCATGTACAGTCTGTGCCACAGTTAAACCTTAATTTTGTCGAACTTCTGAAAAACTTATTAAAGCTACCAATCCATTTAGATTTTGAAGGGCCTTAACCTAGTTCCTCTCCTAATAGATATTTACTAACGGTTATTGACGAGTACTCGATATTTCCTTTCGCTTTTCCATGCACAAATATTTCTGCTGCAACTGTTATTAAACATCTTTAAACATTGTTTTCAATTTTTGGAAAACCTGGTTATATACACTCGGACCAGGGTTCGTCATTTATATCTCAGGAATTAAAATCTTTCCTACCTTCGAAGGGTATAGCTACTAGTCGTACTAAACTCTAAGTGGATTGTGCAGATTGAGGGGGAAATAAGCACTATTTGGAAAACAATTGAATTAGCATTACTTGATAAAGGTTTACAAATATCCTAATGGGAAGTAGTCCTGCAAGAAGCGTTACACTCTATTATATCTCTCTTATGTACTATTACCAATGCAAATCCTCACGAAAGAATGTTTATACATAATAGAAGATCAACTTATGGACAATCTAGCTAGCTAGCTAGCAAGTACGAACCTATAGTGAAGCTAGCTGAACTAACTGAAGCTAATCCTTATTATTCACACGTGCGGATGAATGATGGAAAAGAAATAACCGTATCCAATCGATATTGAGCTCCTTGTGAAACAGCTACTGGAATCGCCATCAGTAAATTAGAGATGTCCCACATACTTTGAAATCCGTTTCTGTTTTGGATTGTCGGTTTTTTTGTGTTAATCTGACAGGTTAAAACGACTAAACCGACAATTCCGGAAGCAAAAGCAGATGATTAAAAAAAACGTACCTGATATTTTGCTTACTGCTGTCAGTGTCAGTGAATATTATTTTTGGAGTCACAGTTTATTTCTAAAGAATCAGTTAGCTAACTCGGACCAGTTAATAGTTCCAAAATTACATCCACTCCAGGGATACAAATTCGGGATACGCAGAAGACTGCTGTTTTATTATAGGCGGTTGTCATATATTGTATTATACGAGTTGCGCAGTGTATAAACTGGAACATTGAGATCAAAAGTGCCGACGCAGGGTGATCGATCTGATTCTTTAGCTATAAACTGTGGCATAGGAATCAAAATGGCCGCGCCCTATGTTGGGCATGTCGGACCTCTCTTGCACCATATAGTAATCAAATTTCACAAATTTCGTTTTTATTTACAATTCTCTTTTATGAGATTTTCTTTTTTCCTCTAATTCTGAATTTTTTCTCTTCTTTTCATTTTTCTTCTGTTTATTTTATTATGTCTCACCTTCTTGATCCCAATTTTCATCTGCATCTACAATTTTATCTTTAAGAGATTTAACTTTTCCTATTCGTTTTTCTACTAGTTTTCAAATTTTCTTTTGATAGCTTTTTTAGGTTTAGACTGCTGGTTGAGCAAACTGTCACTTGTCGCTTTCTGTTCTGCTTCCTAACTGTAGGTTTGGCATATAGTAATAATTTCTTTTGGTAATCTTGTAAAAGAGGTACTAGGTTGCTGATGGTTATTTGAATGAATCCTACTATTATCACTTCTTCTTCGTTATCAGAACTAGTCTGGATTTCTACTGCAATATGTTCCACTAAACCTGAGAATTACGTGCATTTACAGAAGAACAGGTTACTTCATTTTCAATATGTTTATCTAGAATTGCGATATTAGAAGTCTCCGCAGACATAAAATTTAAAAATATGGCGGTCGATAAGTTCTATCCAAATTTATTAAAACCATTTACTTTCAGGGCTTGCTACTAAGCTTCGGCAGTATAAGCTTCGCGTAACATTTTAGCGAATTTGAACGTAACTTAATAACATACTAAAATTTAACAAAATAAAAGGGGTATCATTTAGAGGGGTTAAAAAACGAGGCATTGGAACTGTGGAAAAACTAAATTTACCCAAATTTGTTATTCGAAATAAAAATATATTTTGATTACAATTTAATTTTGTATTTTACTAAAGTGTTCTTATAGTTAATTTTTTCAAACTTTAACTTTAATTACGGTTTATTTTCCGAACTAAGTGGCATGGAGTTTTTCGCTCTAAAATTAATAATTTTCCTAATAATTTAACATCTCTTTTATTAAAAGTCAAGATAGTAATAAACATTTTAATATTTCGTTAATTAAAGAAAAAACGCGGAACTGAAAATTGAAGTTTAGAAACTTAATTTTTTCTTCTTCTTTTATTAGAAACTGCTCTGTATTTTGCGTCAAGTGTTGCCGATATTGCTTTCGTATTTTATCGACAAAACTTTATACTGGTAAACCCACAGGGAACTACGGCTCAAATATCCAACCGATATAACCGTTGCATTGGGTTATCTGAGAAATAGTTTCTGTTTTATAAGGAAAATAATGTCTTTATAAAATTAGAAATTAGATATTTATTGATTTAATTTATTTAATCAAAATTAGTAAAATCATTAGTTTTATCCAATATTTAGTTGTTGATACGTAGTAAGGTAACAAACGACATAAGAGAATTAAAAAAAGGAAAATAATTCCAACTCAAATGTAAAATAAAATAAAAATTGCCAGCTTGGCTTCTTAGTTCCACCTAGTTTTATCACTGGGTGCTACAAGCGACCTTTGATTTTGTTTACTAGGAACAGATGGCGACACCATTTTCACTACTTGAATTCCTATTCTTTTCGTAACTAACATTATTGTATACTACTTAATGTGTTGCCATTGTTAATTTAATTGGAGACTGGAATTGAGAACCATATATTTCTTGCTGAAGAGTCATAATTAGGACGAAACCGGTCAAAGAATGACGTTCTTCTTAGTGAGAAAAATCGAAGTTAGAGTGTTAAAATATAATTTCTACCTCTGCTAACTTTCCTTTGAATGAAATTTTATAACTGTTGAGGTATTAGCCAAAGAAGTAGTTAGTTGTCGAATGGAAACGATCGATCCTATTTTCTGACATAAGACTTTGTGTTTTGGAAGATAATTATATACCTTTACTTATTAATGAGTTATGACCAGTACCCGTATGTTAATAATAAGTCATTCCAGGTACGGATTTCACTTTATCAAAATATTTGTCAATTTATTGTTAAAATTTTTTTGTGTATATTTGTAAAGAGTCGAAATTACATAACTGCGGATGTAAAATTAGGGTAAAATCAGAGGCTATTATACAGAGTGTCGCAAAAAGCAGGCCAAACATCTTAAAAAACACATACAAATGGCTCTCGTAAGCTGTGGAAGAATATTTGGGAAAAATTGGAGTCTAGACCCTAAAATGACCATATGGTCATACACAAGGGTAATAAGACCCATGATAAACTATGGTGCAGTGGCCTGGGTAACCAAAACTGCGCAGGCAAGTGCAATGGGCCAACTCACTAACATTCAGCGGCTTGCCTGTCTAAGTGCTAAGGGCCATGCGCATTACGCCGACTCCAGCAATGGAGGTATTAATAAATCTCACGCCACTGCACATCTTCATACAAGGAGAAACTAGGTCAGCTATTCACAGGCTAATGCAAGGATAAAACCCAATAAACCAACTACATAGCGCCGACCATAAAAGACTATATCAGCAAGTAAAAAGGGATAATATTCTAGCTATGCCTACTTATAGAGCCATAACCACATACAAATTTGAAAGAAATTTTTAAATTTAAATACCAGCCCAAGAATCCTGGAAACAGGGACCTCCCGTACAGGTTGAACTCGTCTGATACACAGACGATTCAAAAAATAAGGAAGGAGCCGGTGCTGGAATCTATGGACCCAAGTCAAAAATAAAGATTTTGCTGAGTTTAGAAAAATATCTAACAGTGTTACAGGCTGAACTAATAGCCATACAACACTGTGCAAGAGAAATATTAAATCAGCAAGTATCAGACTGTCTAGAAGACCTGGCAGAGCTAAGTTAGTCAAAATAAGGTGACCCTAGCCTAAGTTCCAGGCCATGAGGGATATCAGGGCAACAAAAAGGCCGATGCATTAGCCCGAGAAGGTTCAGATAAGACCATGACAAGCCCCGAACCCTTCTGTAAAGTTGCTAAGGCATTGTGCAAGGTATTCATTAAATAATGGATGCAAAAAGAGTCTCAGAAATGGTGTAACAACTATCCAAGACTAAGACAGGCCAAACAGTTCATCAAGGAACCATCAGCTAAGTTCACAAAAGACCTACTGGATCAAAAGCGTCAAATTGTTAGGATAACAGTAGGCCTTCCTACTGGACGCTATCGCCTCAAAAGGTACACAAGTCATCAATCTAGCAGAAGAAGCAAATTTGTGCAGGTTCTGTGAAGAAGAAGAAGGAACATCATTCCACGTCCTGTGCCACTGTAAAGGCCTGGCTGGAATAAGGTTTCTAACATTGGGCGAAGAAAATCAAAATGCATGCAACTACATGCAGGAGCCACTGTCAAAGCTACTTAGTCTAGGTAGTACCTACCTTAAATAATTCTCCAGGTCACTGTAAGCCATTGACTAGAGTAATAACCTAAATGTTTGTTTTATTTCAATAGGAGCGGGTATTAAGTAAAAACAAAAAAAAATACTTTTTAGAATTTTTATTAAATTCTTTGTTTCAAATAATATTGCCAATTATTATACTCATATCTTAAGCCTAGCCCATATTTAGTTCTTTTCCTCTAATATTTCTTGCTGAATTATTAAAAATATTTTAAAATACCAGAGGTAACTCAAACATGTTTTATTATTATTTATTTTTATTTTTTGTCCTAGGTGTCTGATAGAAGGATGCGAAAGTGAGAACACTTCTGAATCCCTTTACAATCCCAAGTGGTTGAAGGATTTCGTTCCTTTCGAAGGGGATTCTCCAGACAGTTGTCACCGTTATGCACTGATGAATAACAACAACTCCTGTTCCAAACGAGACGTACTCAAAAACGACACAACAAGATGTAAGAAATTTATATACCAAACGCAGGATTTCACTATTTTGCACGATGTGAGGATATTTCACTTTTCATTTTTCTACTCGAAATACAGTCGCTTAGTTTCATAATAAAATAGTGTAGGATTTTTAACTTCTGCAATAAAATACAAAAATAATACTGCTTTCTAAAGTTTGTGGATTAAGCATATCGGAGTTTAGGTTTTATAGTCTAGTATATTGTGTACATAGTTTTATTTTTTAAAATTTTATTCAACTAACTTATTTTGCTACCTAATATTGGAACAAATATCGTCAGCAGATATCAGAGATTATTTATAACACCTGTTAAATAAGTTTAAAATCCGGTAAATCCTATTTAGGGTTAAAATGGCAGTGTAGAATATATATATATATATACTCAAAAACTTTTTGCCCATATAGAAACAAAATATACGTAGGAGATAGTGGGGCACTTAGGTACACTGGGCACATTGAATCCTTCAAGTTTTCCTCGCACTGGCTTGTCGTTCTACGTTTTAAAAGTACCTTGTTTTGGTTATTTTATTTTATATCGTTCTTTTAATAGATCCAAGCTCTGTTTGCTTCATTTATATAGTTTTCTCAATGTCACGTGTCCAAAAACATATATAGCATATATAGCTCGAGAAGGTAGATTTCAAACGTAGCATCTGTTCACGCCGTATAAACTTTCCATATTTTTGGCAGCTCTCAGTTATCTGATCTGTTGGACGCCGAGGTGTGATAGTGTAGTTGCATAATGGTGCAGTAAAAATCTTTGAATAATATTAGTTTTTAAATATTTGTTGAGTGAAAAATACATATTTATTTATTTTTAGACTGTTACGGTAAGAATACTATCAAAATAAGCACTTATTTAATTTATAATATCTAGTTCTAATTTTTCAATAGGTGTATTCTGATTATTTAATTCCAAATATTTAAAAATAATGTACTATCGGGTAGATTGAGAAAAAATGTGGCACAATGGATTGTTCCAATGTGCATCTCAAGGATTTAATACTTGATGGAATAGTCCATAACGTCTTCTAAAATAGTTTATACCTACAAAATAAATACCAATAGAGCCAACATTTGTAAAGGAGGAATTTTGGTTTTAATTAAAGATGTTCATCAAGGAAGATTATACTATAGAAATGAAGCAGCCACTTACAGGGTAAGTCAATTTACATTGGCCAGCAGAAAAAAAAAGTAAGAAAATACGAGACTTGCATGCAGAGGAGTAGATAACATCACATCCAGATGGATGGCTCAGTTGCTATGTACAAAAACTGCAGAGACACAGGTAGGGCAGAACACCATCTCCATCTGCACAACCAGTGGATGTCCAAAAGGAGGAGTAGTATCCCCACAAATGTGAAGCCTAATCGTAAACGAATTTCTATGCAGATTAACTGACCTCGGCATACCCTCCGTTCAAAATCCTTTATTTAAAAAACTTATGTACAATAATTTACAATTAAATATCATATAATACATTATATTTAATAGGGGGACTTCCAACAGTGCTCCGGAAGTGTAACATTCCTATTAATTCGTCCTCATCGAGGCTCGCCGTTGTTCTGGCCTAGTATTAAAATGTTATTTTTAAGCATTTAAGTCTAATTAGGCATCTCCTTGTTAAATAAACATTATATGCCTTTTATGTGGGCTAGCAAGAGCGATAATGGTGTTTGAATGAGTTTTTGTCTGAATTTAATTGTGTGTCTTCCCTGAAAAACGTATAAAAAACAGGGTTGTCCTTGTATGTGTGTTCGTCTCATGTTAGTCTTTGTACGTGAGAAAGCCAAATCCACAGACTACACAGTAAAATCCCCATTCAACATCGAATTAGGAGCGCTAGCCGCGAATTCTGCATTGAATATTAGTCTCGTCTGTAAATTGTGTCGGCATACCCTATCAAGGTTATGCCGACGACATAGTCATATTTGATAGACAAGTTTAGAAATATCCTGTGTGATATAGTCCAACGAGTACTAGAACATACCAAAATATGGTGCCGTGAAGTGGGACTTAGTATAAACCCTACAAAAACAACACTAAAATCCATTTCATGAAAAATAAATCTTAATCAGAAAACCGTTAAATTAGACGGGATAGATATAGAATGGGAAAATGAAGTCAAATATTTAGGCCTAACCCTGGAGAACAAACTTCTCTGGAACACACATAAGAGGAAAGTATCAAATAAGGCCACAAAAGCCCTATTGGTGTGCAAAAACATTACGGGTAAACGATGGGGATATAACCCCCTGAACACACTGCTCTGGATGTATACTGCAATAGTGAGACCAATCATGAGTTACGGGGCTATAGCCTGGAGTAACAGTTTAGCTACTACGAGAGCTAATATCTTAAAAGTACAAACACCAGCTTGTGTTCGCATCACCGGTGCAATGAGAATCACCTCCATCCCTCTACATTTAATGTGGCAAAAAGAACACGATATAGATTGGTCAGGAACGCAGTAATCAGACGAAACTCTACTTGCTTCAGGACCAAAGATACCTGAGATATGTCCCAGGATAAACTAATAAAGAAGTGAAAATCACAGAGCTAAGCTGCAAAAAAAAATAGAGCCAAGAATCCATCGCGCTTGCAACCTAAAGACATGCTATTTAGTGGTATACGGATGGTTCCAAAACCATAAAATTAACTAAAATAGAAGTGTATGGGCTGACAACCAAGCACTCCGAAAGCTTGGAAAAATACCCAAGCATCTTCCAGGCGGAAATTCACGCCATTGAGAGGTGTATCCAGTTTATTGTCAAGAGAAACTATCGTAGACAAGAGATTATCATCATGTCCGATAGCCAAGCAGCCATCAAAGCGCTAAGCTCTTACGAAATCAGCTCAAAAATGGTCTGTAGATGCCTAGAACAATTAACTGACCCAGGTAAGAAAAATAGAGTTACTCCCACTTGAGTCCCGGGACATAACGGGGTACAGGGTAACGAGATTGCAGATAGTCAAACACCCTTTGTGGTACCTGAGCCGTTCTGCGGTATCAGCAGTAACATAGGACATATTAAAAAAGAATTGGGCAGTAGAAGAACCGATAATTGGAACAATCTTTTGGGGTTAAAACAGGGTAAGATACTTCTGGGTGAATATAACCAGAAAAGATCGAAAGCCTGCATCCACCTAATCAATAACAGGCTACGTATTGTAACAGGGATCCTTACTGGGCTTTGCCGACTAAAAGGACACTTTAGTAAACTGAGAGTAGAAGAATATAGTGAGTGCAGATTGTGTGAGAAGGACGAAACCTTCATTCACATTTTAACTAAATGTGTAGCACACCAGAATCCAAGGGGACGCTACCTAGGAGCATATCAAATAGAAGCGGAAGATTCACCTAACTTGAAGCCACTTCAAACGCACTTCCTTGAAAAGATAGGATTGGAAGGATCGGTATAGGCATCGAGACATTTCCTTGCTGCATTAACGACAGAAGGGAGCACAATATATCTTTTAGGTCGCAGTGTATTAACAACCCATTCCCAACATAACATAACAAAATAATACGAGGATCAAGTAAATACAAATCAAGAAAAAGCAGATGTTATGGATTCTGAAATCATTTCACCAGCTTATATTTTTCTGAATTCATATTTTTCTTACCACCAAGTATTTAGAAAAGACCAATTACGCAAATATTTATTGAATAGTTTCAAGATTAATTGGTCCCACTTACCCTCAAGCTCAAAAGTTAGTAAAAAAATGGAAAAATTGTACCTAGATCCAATAAATTTAAAAGGGAATATTTACCTCTCAAAGGAAATTACCTTTTTCACAAAAAAATTTGTAACGCCACCGTACCTTCAGCTCACCAACCCAAAGATAAAATGGTTCACCTTGTCTTCATCGTTTCCGCCTGTGCTCCAGAGAACACAAAAGTCATGAAACCGAAAAGGCAAGAAACGGAAATGAGGTTCAGCCATCAGGCATCGAGAAACCATACCAGTCCTTTCGGAGTGGTTCTGGTGTAGCCAGAACCTCGAAAGAACGTACTTATACAAATAACTTGAAAAACGTACCTACTGGTTGTCAAGTTGAATGATAGTGACGGTTACTTGGAACAGGTTAGAAGAATGTCAACAAACAATATATTTAAATTTATTAGGACTTATAAAAGTTAAAATAGAAATACCAAAGAAAATAAAGAATTAGAAACTAACGAGACTAGTGTACACTTTAAGGGTAGGTAACACGATTAAACCATGGCATTTATAATTGAAATACTATTAATTTATTTGTGATAAAAATGACTAAACTAATGGTATTTGTAACTGAAATACTATTTAATTAATTTGTGATAAAAAAATGCTTTTATTTTTAAAATTTAGTTAAAACCTTAAAAGATAATCCATATAAATTTACTATGTCTCACGTTCATTTAAATATGATTATTTTCAGCAAATACGAACGTTACCCATGATACGCCTTCTTCACAGTCTTTGATTGTACGACAAATTGTCGATTTTTTTATGTTCTAATCTGGATAACTATCGACAATCTTTCATTTCGACATTTGCCCAGCCAGATTATAAATACCTCGACGAAGATCAATTTTATAAGACATTTTGGTAAGCGCAAGCCAAACACTTTTGCATTGCTTATTTTGATGACATGACTGGTTAAATTTAATTTTCATGGCCTGTTTGATTAAATGCATTTTGTCACTCAGTCAAACCAGGTGAATTTTTTCCCAAAACTTTTGGACCATACGTTAAAAAACCAAATATTAGATATGTAGATAACTCTCTATTCTGAAACTTGTGGCGATCAGAACAAAACTGGCAACATAGTTGCTATGTTTATGACTTTGATGCAAAATTCAAATTATGAGATAGTGGTTCACAAATTCTCAGTACCTGGACACACGTTAAAATGGAATGTGACACTATTCACTCAATTACTAAAAAAAAGGAAGGGTCTTATGAGGGTCTTATCGAACATTCGAGGAACTTGGTTTCTGTTGGTAAGATCATGTTGCAAATAACATGCGTTTAAAGTACAAGAAATTAAAA